CGCCGGAGCGCCCTCCCCCCCCGCGGAATGCCGCGCCGCTCTCCCCCCGCCGCCCCTTACCAGGTGCCGCCCCAAGCATGTGCTTGGGTGCCTGGTGCCTGGAGCCGGCCCTGACTCCAATTGTAGAGTAACATTAAAAAAAATTGAAAGGACAAAGCCTGAATCAATGAAGGGACTTAGGTATTGCAACACTGAGCATTGCAATACTTAACTTTTAGGCCCCTTGAAAAATCACTGAAATCCACAAGTCTGGGTTAGGCATGTAGGTTCCCTGTACAATCTATGGGGAGAGAAACACACTCAAGAATGGGATCGACAAAAGCCAGCAGGTAGCCTCCTAAATTAGCCAACAGGAGATACTGATGAGGGGGGGTCCTTATCCCCGCTCCCTCAGAGAATTAGGCACCTCAGTCTGAGTTGAAGGAAACCTCTGCTTGCAAGCCACAGTGGGGAACCCCTCTCCTGGAGTCAGGTGCTCATGGGGTGTAAGCTGTCTCTTGCAAAAATGGTTTAGGCACCTGGCTAACTCCACACGATGGGTTAGGGAGGAGGACAATGCCTCCTTTACAACCTTTAGCCCAATGGTTAGGGTACTCATCCAGGATGTGGGGACCCCAGTTCAATTCCCTCCTCTACCCAATGTGGAGAAAGGATTTGAACAGGAGTCTCCCTGATGTCAGTTCCCTAACCACTGCACTATAGTATCACACTCTCTCTCTGGCTCAATTAACATTTAATTATTTTATAGAAAGTGGAATGTCTTCAACAAGAGAGATTGAGGGAGTCCCACATCAGACTATCCCATAGTCCAGTTGTTATAGAGCACTCACTTAAGAGATGGAAAACCCCTGTTCAAATCTCTTCCCATCAGGCAGTGGGGGAATTAAACCAGGGTCTCTGGCATTCCAGGCGAGTATCCTAACTGTCAAGCTAAAGGTTATAAGGGAGCCAGTCTCTCCCTCTGGCTGTTTTGTGTGCAGTTAGGCATGTTTTGGGCACAGCTGCTGGATCAGGCCCCATCTGTGAGCTGGCCAGGGCAACACCCATCTTCAGCTGGTTTGAGGACTGTGCGGGGGCTTAGACATCAGATACATGTTTGGACTCTTAGAGCGAGGCATGGTGCATGTGCAGAGGCAGAAATGTAGGTGCCTAGAAAACTTTTACATAGAACGTTTAGGTGTCTACAGGGTTAGACAGCAGCTGAATGAGGTTTTGTGGTTCATGATAATGCCTAAATCTGGGACGAAGGCACCTAAATCTGGGGTCTAGGTGCCTAAATCCTTTTGTGGATTTGGACCCAAACCTTTTTGTTTTTATTCAGACTACAGCTTGTTTCCTTGATTCCTCAGTCTTGCCTGCTCCTTACGTGGCACTCCATTGAGCAATACATGAAGAATTTTTTTGATCTCCGCATGTGCACATCATCCCATAGTTAAGCAAACCCAATTACCACACCACTTCCACATTGGAATAAAATTCAAATTTCTTAGTAACTACCCCACATGGCACCCCATATTCCAATACTTTAACTAGTACATTCATTGCTAGCTACAAATATACAGATATCTTAACTGCTGGGTGCCAGATCCTTAGGTGGTGCATATGCTCCTAACTCCATTGAAATCAATATGCGACAATGATTTACACCAGGTGAGCATCCAGCTCTGGATTTCTTAATGGCTTAGAATAATTGAGCATTGCCTGCAAGGTTATTAATTTATCTCCTTTTCACCTTCTAAACAAAAACTCTCGGGAAAAGAATAACCCATTTTATGTTCCTTCAGCTCTAACACTTTGTGTAAAGAGTGGCCCCACTGACATCAATGATAGCATTGTCATTGATTTTAATGGGGGCTGGATTTCACTCTTTCTCTGTAAGATTAAGGGCTTGCCTTCACTGCAAAGTTATAACTTCAGTGCTGCCCCTCACTGGTGTACCATCCACACACAAAACCCTTTAATTTAAGCCTGTGGTGCTTTTAACCTGAATTGGCTGGCCCATCAGAGGGTATTGGATAAGCTTAGAATAGAATAATAGAATATTAGGGTTGGAAGAGACTTCAGGAGGTCATC